ACCCGGTTTACTACCACCACGGCATCTAGGCTTCCAACGCTTATTATTACGATCCCATACAAATTTTGTAAAAAACTCCGTGTAAGTCAATGACCATGCATCCGGGTCAACCTTATTATATTCCATCCAAGCAGTAAACTTCAACGAATTCGCGTTGATACTCGCACCAGGAAGATGGTACGGTAGAACATAAGTTCCTACAACAATCAGAATCAAAATCAACAACTCTAACAAATTGAGATAAACATAATGGAAATCTAAAATCACAAACCGTAAATCATAAACACGCAAAGATATTTATATAAATAACTACAAGACGACGAACTCACCAGTATAACGCATCGTGAATAATACAACACCCTACAAAACCATTCAACAAAAACAAACAGTTAAATATATTAACAAAATACGAATATGAAAAAATCACAAATTATATATAAACTATATATATATATATATACAAACATAAAAGAGCAATACTTAAGAAAACATAATAATATATACCAAAGTTAAACTGACAACCAGAAGACAAAATAGCAGTTAGCAATAGTCTACACAAAGAAACCACTAGTTAGGATCATTTACATGAACAAAATACGAATATGAAACAATCACAAGTTATATTATATAAACCAAAAAATAATATATATATATATATACAAACATATAATAACAATATATACGAGAATACAATAAATACGAAAACACGATAAATACATAAAACTTACCCAGATAACCAGAAGACCAAGCAACAGTTATCAACAACCTATACAAAAAATAACGATCATGAAAACAACGCAAATTAGGATTATTCACACGAACCAAATACGAATACGAAAAATCACAAGTTACAATCATATAGGACACCAGGAAAACTATATATATATATATATATATATATACAAACATAAAAGAGCAATATATTTAAAAACACAATAAGCACATCAATCATACCTCGATAACCAGAAAACCAAGCAATATCGACGGCAGCCTGAACAAAGAAAATATGAACATTAAAACTACATGAGTTATAATCATTTAGACAATGACAAATTATAATCATATAAGACACCAGGAAAACTATATATATATATATATATATAAACACAAATGAGCAATATATTTAAAAAAATAATAAACACATCAAACATACCTCGATAACCAGAAAACCAAGCAATGGCGACGTCAGCCTGAACAAAGTAAAGACAAACATTAAAACTACATGAGTTATAATCATTTAGACGAACAAACAACAAATATGACAACATTATGATTTATAATCATTTAGACGAACACAAAGGAGCAATATATACGAAAACAACAAAACCCAACCCTAGGTAAGACGAATACCTAAAAATCGCTGGTTTGAAGTTTAAATTGTGAAAGAAACAATAGTATTTATACATACTCGATAACCTAGGGCGAGCTATAAATATTCATTAGCGAATATATGCGGCTGCGTCTCGAAAAAGAAAAGCATCCTTATCCAACTATTTCATAAAAATTGAAAAAGAGAAACCATCCTTATCAAACTAATTCATAAATAAAACCATCCTTACCCAATCAATTAATAAATAAAACCATCTTTACCCAATTAATTCATATATTCGAAAAGAACAACCATCCTTATCCAGCTAAACCGTGTATATTCGAAAAGAACAACCATCCTTATCGAGCTAAACCATGTGTAAAACTAAACCAACAATTCAACCACGGTTTTCATTAAAGATATAATTGGAAAAATCGATGCCTAAAGTATGCTGAGAATAAACATAAGCTTGACACGTCGGAAATCTACTTTCCAAATAATAGTATAGATTACGTTTTTTTTTTCCAACTTATTATATTAAGAAGTATATCGGTTATGCTGATTGTGATTAATTACAGATAATGGAAGAGTGTGATAAAAAAACATAAGGAGTTAATGGAGAATCATTAGATATCACAACAGCATGAGCTTCACTATTATGTTCTCTGGGCACCCAACGAAATTTGATATCTTCAAAATGTGTAGACCAATGCAAAATCTCTCTCAGTCAATTAAGTAAACCAAAGTTGAGACTCTGTTTTGATACTAACTTCTGTAATTTTTGTGAATCTCCTTCAAAAATGACTCGTGTATAACCTTTAGCCCAACATAGCTGCATCAAAATTAGCAAGGCTTGTGCTTCACTTTCCAAGGGATTCGAGAGACTACTTGTAATGGTTTGACCAGCTCCCCTATATATACCCTCGTGATCCCTTAATATCCATCCTGCTTTTCTCGGTAAATTATCTTTGTAGGAGGCATCATAGTTGCACTTAATCCATCCAAGAGGGGGTCGTGTCCATCTCTGTTGTCTTCTGTTTGTTGTGTTTGTTGGACCCGGGATTGTTTGAGAGATTCTAGCTATATGATTCTGGCTATCAAGCCATTCTTGAGTATCATATTTTGCTAGTTGTAGTGCTTTTGACCATGGTATATGATGTCTTTGAAATAAGAGCACATTCTGACACTTCCAAAGCCTCCATAGAATCCAATAACTTAGGTAATGAAGGTGTGAGGGTAGCGTGTTTTTATAATCATTTATTACTCGGAGCTTGTCTTCAATGGCTGTTGTGGAGTTGAGAAGGTCTATATAGGGAATTCCACTAGCTCTCCAGAGACATTGCGCATAAGGACAGTTGAAGAATAAGTGTTGAGTAGATTCTTCTTCTGAAGAACATTGCGGACATTCCTTTAGATTGGCGATATGTCTTGTTCGCAGAGCTTCCCCTGTTGCCAGAGCGTTTGATAACATTCTCCAGAGGAAATATTTTATTTTTTGGCCGGGGGGCGGGGGGGGATCTGCAGTTTCCAAAAATCTAATTTTGATTGGATATCGCCTGGAGGGGGCCTTGGCACATTTGTATACGGCATATGCGTCGGTAGCCAGTATGCTGATTTGACGGAATAGACTCCTGATTTGTTGTAGTGTCATCCCAAAAAATCTGTTGTAGCGGTTCTACTCAATTTTATTTTTAGGATTTTAGTTACATCTTCTTCAGCAACAAGTTCTCGAATAACATCTTCGTTCCAATCAGTACCTGTTGAGTTACCCCATGCGCTTACAGAACAGTGAAGAACATTGTTTTGCTTTGGTTTTGGTGGTCTCGGCGGGTGAGTGGGTAGCCAAGGGTCTATCCAAGCACTGATAATGGATCCGTCTCCTATTTCAAATCTCAGTCCACTTTTGACCAATTCTCTCCCTTGTAATAGTGATTTCCAGACAAAGGAGCTTCTTGTTCTATCTTTGGCAGTTAATATATTTCTTTTAGGGAAATATCTTCCTTTCATCACTTTAGACATTAGACATGTAGGCGTAGCATGATTCTCCAGATTTGCTTCCCAAGTAATGCTAAGTTGAAATGCTCCAGGTCCTTGAATCCCAGACCTCCTTCTTTCTTCGGTAAGCTCATTCTCTTCCAAGCAAACCAGTGTAGTCCTTTTCTATCATTTCCTGAACTCCACCAGAACTTAGCTAGTATACTTGTGAGAGGGAAAATGAGCACATTTCCTAAAAAGCCTTCCCCGCAATAACCTAAGCCCATCAAGACCAGGAAGACCGCGCCGACCTAGCTTGGATTTAAGGAAATCTCTTAAGGATAACCTTTGAAGACCGGAAACATTGGATTAATTCAAAGGATAACGGAGAATTTCTTTATCCTCGGAGAATAAAGGATATTTCCATATCTATGGAAATATACGCAAAGACGAAAAGGAAAAGGAGTTCGGAGCAACCAACCTCCCATCCCTATAAATAAAGAGGACCTGGTAACCAAGAGGATCATCCAATACATTCTAGAGAGCAATAGAGCTAAAACCAGAGACTCCAACGCTTTCTAGTTTACTTTACAAATACCTTTTTCACTTTGGCATAACCTCATGGTTATCCCTTTCCTTGTAATCGCTTCGCTTATTACTATTAATAAAAAGACTTTATTCTCTGAAATCCACAACTGTTAATCAAACCCTAGTGGTGATTTTCTGGTTCAACAATACTATTTATCTCATCACAGATAGTCTTCGGTATTTTAAAGATTTGCATGCTATAAACTGGCATCGCAGTTGCCACGGATTTGAGTAGAACTTCCTTTCCTCCAGGTGATAAGAATTTCTTATGCCATCCTTGAGTTTTAGTTTGAACATTACCTAATATGTATTGAAACATTTCTGTCTTCTTTCTTCCAAATTGCTCCGGCAGACCTAAGTATTTTCCTCCACCACCTTCATTGTGTATACCTAGTAGTCTTCTCATTTTTGTTTTAACTTCTGACTGCACCCTTGTCCCAAAAGTTATTGCAGATTTCTGGAGGTTTACCGCTTTTCCTTATGCTTTCTCATATGTAACTATTATTCATTGAATACCTTTCCCACATTTTTCATTCGCCAATGAAAAGAATAGTGAGTCGTCAGCAAATAACAGGTGATTAACTGATGGAGCTTGCTGACCAAGTTTTATTCCAATGATTTTACGCTCTGTAGCTGCTTGATACATCATATGGGAAAGCACTTCAGCACATAATATAAAGAGATATGCGGACAAAGGGTCTCCCTGCTTGATTCTTCGGTTTGGTGTTATATGGCCTTTTGGTGTACCATTTATTTGTACAGAGTAACTCACCATGCTATTGCATTTCATTATCCAAAATATCAATTTCGGATGAAAACCCATTCTTTGCATTGTTTCTTTCAGGAAATGTCATTTCAATCTGTCATAAGCTTTTGTAATATCAGTCTTGAGCGCCATATAAAACTTATGGTTAGAAGTTTGTGAACTTAAAATAGAAACCAAAAAATATATTGTACTGTTCAGTATTTGTAAAAGTTGATGCATTAAAATGGTAATATAATTGTAGATAATGTATTACTATAGAATTTTCTCAATTGTTTATTCATCCTTTTTTGGGGTTTGTGAAATCCTAACAGGGGACTTAATGCCCTAATGTGGTTAAGAATGAGTTGAAAGGAAGCTTTGTCTGAACTATTTTCTTGATTGATCCGAGTTCCTGCAGAACTTGATTTAGGCTATAGTTCGGATGTATAGCTCTGTTGTGATGACTATAAATAAATTGTTAAACAGTGTTTGGTTCAGAGACAAAATTTATTAAGAAACTATAAGGTAGTAGTTTTTGTTTTGTAGCTTCAAATTAGATAGTAGAAGAAGCGAAACGTATCTGTGTACCAGAAAGGCAGAAACCATCATCTCTTCTTCAGAATATATGCAGACTTCAAAAAAAAAACCAGTTCAGAGATTGCCCTGATAACTACTCTGATGAACTTCGAATCCCGAGATCTTGGAATGGAGAGCTTCAAGTAATGTATTTTCTCATTTTTGGTCGATATAAACAGCATCGACATCATCAAGTTCTAGTAGTTTCTGCATAAGCTCTTTGTTCAATTCCATGGCCTCATCATCCACCTGCAAAAACCCACAACTTGTCAACATCCCTATTAATCACATTTTGTGAGTGAATGATTGATGAATACTGATAAGAGTGTGACTCTTATTGAATGATTGATGAATACAATCAAATCTTGCGATGTAAGTTTATCTACAGATATCTGTAATCAGAGCCAACATGAACGAGATATCTAGTGCTTATGTATGCAATATACAATGTATATAACACACCAAGAGGAATACGATGCTCTAGTTAACGATAATAGTAATAGATTATATAAGATTTTCAGTATCAAACATGTTGAAAACGGAATGACACAGAGGTTACAGAACAGAGTAAAGGTTCACTACCTCTACTGTAGTCAGAGGGAGCAGTTCAGAGCCATTGTCAGGCTCGAAGTTCACTCCTTCATCACGTAGCTTTGACAATATTGTTGAGTAGTTCTCAGAAGTAGTTACAATTTTGTAGTACCTGAACAAATATAGAGAGATGAAACATATGAAACAAAAGAAGAACATAAAATTATACTTATGAGTCATCTCGTCACACTCATCTGTATAACTGGCAAGATTGATACTTATTTTCTTTGCTTCATATCGCATGTATGAAAATTTTATCGTCATTTTGCTGTTTATAAGAAGAAAATGCACTAGGTTTTTGTTTTTTGATATAGTTCGTATACATAGAAACAAAAGAAACATCTTGCAAGCTCTACCTTCAGTTACTTGATCTACATTTTAGATTCAATCTCGTAAGTGACTATCTCTAACTCCAATACAACTTAGGTTTCTTCACTAACAGAAAACAATAAACAGGAAGAAACGAAATGCTGAGAAACTTCGGTTTTATGTTGTGTATACCTTTCTGCTCTATCTTCATCAGTGTCATCTTCATAAGTTGGTGGCTCAATAACATCCTCTGCTCCAGCATCTAAAGCAATATCAAGGAGCTGATCTTTATCAGCATCGGTGACTTTTATATTCACTACCCTAACTCGTCTAAACTTGAACATGACAGATCCTGAATCAGCCATTTTTCCTCCATAGTCCTTAACAACCGATCTAATAGCTGCCACTGATCGATTAATTTTGTCTGTTAAGACCTCCACTACCATACTAACTCCTCCATAGCCATATACCTAAGCCATACAAAATAAAAACTTTATTTCAGAGTCATCAAATCTTATATTGGACCTAAAATCAATGGTATTGCCAACGATATCATCACATTGAATTAGGTACTGAGGTAGTGAAGTTGAGTTTCATTCAGTAACCACATACTTGGCTAGGTTAAGTGATGATCTAAAACCAATTCATAAGATGATTTACCACACAACGGCCCCACTTGCAAACATAAAACTAGAGTTGAAGATTGTGACCTAACCTCGTAAATCTTCTCCATAAAATCTTCTTGCCCTTTCTCAGAAGCCCTTTTAATATTACGCTCCACAATGTCCTTCGGTACATCTAAGTCCTTTGCTTTCTCAAGTATGGTAGCTAGAACTGTATTTGAAACAGGGTTTGGACCACCTTTCTTGACACTGCAGGATGATAAAAACTCACATATGATACTGACTCTTTCTCATAAACCCACTCAAGAAGGTGAATCCAACAGACTAAGCACAGAAGATGCAACAACGAAAAAGAACTTAAAGACTTACGCAGATACAACCTCCTTGCCAATTCTACAGTACAGCTTCGCCTTCTTTGAATCTTGAGCCCCCTGTATTCACCAGAAACTTCAAAGTTTCAAAATTTTTTGTCTTTCTACTTTCAATTTTGTATAAACCCATGATCGAATCATCCTCTGAGACATTTTATCAAACAAGTGGTGTGCACCAGCAATTATCAACTCTAGACTCTCCAAATCAGCTAAATTGTTTATTCTCAAACCCTAGTAAGTAGCAGCAACAGAAGATAGTCGTAAATAGAGATAGAGAGAGAGAATGAAACGGACCTTTCGGCCAGCGATTTTGGAAGAGCGACGACCCATACAAAGAGGAGAGCATATGCAAATCTTTCTGACTTGACTCTTGCTGCAGTTTCGGTCATCGTAATGTGACGCTGTGAAAGGCGAGATTGAGGAGAGAGAGGAGAGAGAATTCGTCATGGAGAGAAGACGATGGTTTTTGGAGTTGAGGATGGATCTGGAAGAGACGCCATGGGAGAATCTGAGGAGGATTAGGCCCACAGCTCCTCTGATGGAGCAATGGGAAGCCATATTCGTCTTGGTGGTGATGATGTCTGGGTGGATTGAGAAGAAGAGGGAAATGAGATAATCCAATCCCTCAAATGGATCTACTTGTTGGGCTATTTCACTTTTTCTAATTGATATGGGAAATTCGAATATTGATTATTTGCTCCATAGTAGTCTCAACTGTCTGGTTTTCACCCACCAGTTTCTTTCAAAACCACCTACTTTTTCTTAAAATAGAAATTTTTTTGAATTTTACCACTCCTGGTTTTCTAATACTGGGTTCCACCCCGGACGGAGGTCGGAGGGTCCGCTTCAAACCGAACTCCGGTAAGCTCCTCTACACCTTTTCAAGACTACGGTGATGTTTATGTAAGAATCCTTGGAAGTCAAACATATAGATTGGTTTTGTGCGAGTTTGTATTATCTCTTCCTGTTTTTTCAGTGAAAACTCGGTGGTCTCCGTACCACTTGAAACTCTCTCACCCTGGTGGTGTTGAGAACCTGATACAAGAAAGGAGAACTCAAGGTTACAAAGAAATCTTACAACAAATGGCGAGAAGGCTATCTTATGCAGAGAAAGGGAAGGGAGTGGCAAACCCGAGTGAACCCCTCCGAGCTGGAAGAGGGAGGGTGCCGGATTTCGATAACTCAGAGCTCATGAAACAGCACTCCCTAACGATTATCGGACGAGTGACAAATCCCAAGATCCAGAAGCTCTGGTCCCTCATTCCTTTCTTCACAGAACACTGGAAGACATTCTCTCACCCGATTGGTGCAGATCTGGGACAAGGGCTCTTCCAATTCCAATTTGGATCCTAGGAGGATATGCAGAAGGTGTTAGACAACAGGCCATACCACTATGCAAAATGGATGCTCATTATCCAACAATGGGAGCCTATAGTCTCCCCAAGCTCTCCCTCCCAGATCCCTTTTTGGATAAAGGTCCAAAGAATTCCACTGCACCTATGGAATGAAACTATGCTCCGGAGTATTGGAGACGACCTGGGCTCGTTCGAATGCTGGGAAATAACTCCAACCTCAGCTAGAATGAGAGTGAGCATAAACGGCTTTCTGCTACTCCTGAAGAAATATACTCTGGAATTCGCCAATGGAGATATTGTGGAAGCCACACTCGTGTATGAACGCCTGGAAAAACACTGCAGTAGATGCCTCAAGCTAGACCATGAACTCAGCAAATGCCCTGAGCTGAAACCACCTCTACCGGCTGCAAAGGAAAACTCAAAACCCCCACCTCTTGAAAGCAAATGGAGTTCCGCTAGAAGAGAGATGCAGAGACTTTCCTCTGCAAAACTTTCCTCGACTAGCAGGCGGAAGGAGAATGCGCAGGAAAGAAGAGAACAAACAAGCAGACCCGGAAGAGAGGATCACCAATACTCTGAGGCGCGAAGAAGTAGGGCTTCTGCTGAGTACAGAGGGTCGGAATTTATGCGGAGTAGGTACAAAGGAGCAGAATATCAATCACACTCTCGCCCCTTGACGTGATCATGGAAGGCAACCAGGAAGAACTTGTGGAAGCTGAGCTTGAACCTGCGTATGCAATGCTTGTACCAGCGGTTGGACCTTTGACCCGTGCTAAAGCTAAGAGATTTATGCAAGGAATTGGAGGTTTACTTAACCAAATGCTCACATCCGAAGAGAACTCAGACTGGAATGGATAAGACTCAACTTAAGAAGTAATAATGATGATCCAAGTCCAAGAAGAGCTCTAATGGGGTTGTGATCATTTGTACTCTTTTTCCTTATCCTTGGTTTTGTCTCAATGGGTTTTCCAGGAAAGGTTTTAATGAGTCAAATGGATCACAAAGTTACTAAGCCCAATTCACTTAAAGGAGACCATTTCGTGCCTTGGAAGGAAGAGTTGAAGAGGCATCCACAAAATCACTTCAAGAGTCACTTTTGAAGCTAAAGAATCATTCAAACTTAGTTTTAATTCAGTCTTTCTTTAGTTAATGCTTTGACCACAAGTTTGCCTCTTGGTCTACTCATTTTTATTTCTATATAACTCATGTAATCTCATTTGAGAAGAACAACCCTTTTTTTATAAAACCTTTTGAGAGTGATTCTCTTTGTTCCTTATGAACATTTCGATATGTCTTCGTGTGTCATATCCAGGGGATCAACCCGGTTTATCAAGTGTTCTTCATCACACTTGTGTGGTCATTCTACCGACTGAAGTTAGTTGTTTGTAGTATAAGTTAGTATCAGGTGGTGAGTTTAATATACTCACTATTGGAGCTACCTGCATCACCTTTCTAAGGTTCCACCGCCTTTTCCTTTAGAATTTCCGCTTCCATTGGATTAAAGGATTATTCCTACCAACTTTAGAGTGCCCGATCTTGGAGGATCGCATCACCCCTCTTACAGTCGAAGATATGACGGCCATGGCACAATAAGATGGGTCGAAACGGGAAGAAGGCTTTCCCCCTCCGTACAATCCGAAGCAACAGGGGCCTTTAAGGGACAAGACAACACAAGGGGAAGAGACAGAGAAGAGAGATCTGGCGAAGCTTCAAAATTACAAAGGAGGACCCCTAGAAGGGATTCTCTGGATTACTCACAATTAGGACAACGATCTCAGCCGTTCAGGGAGAACCCCACAACACCCACCCAGGGACTTTCGGAGGATGCACTGATAGAGGCCAGGGGAGAACTACGAGAAGTCATGATCCAGTATACAAACTACGCTGACCCCACAGAAAGTGCAGCTCGGAAGGAAAGAATGAGGCTAGCAGAGGAGCTGGGAGAAATCAAGGAAACAGCAGCTCAAATGGTTAGGAGTGCAATACGCACCTCTCAGCCTCAAGAGGATCAAGAACTGGAACCCCTTACCCAGCAAAGAATTCCTGCATTACAGCGTTTGGGGCCGTTAACTCTAACATATATTCCAATTACGTAAGAGCCAACGAGATTACCAGCTAAAGCAAGACTGGGGAGACCCCCTGGAAAGAAGAAATTACCTCGTGGGTTCCAAGACCATTATTTACACAGATCACGCAGCTTTGCGTTATATCTATTCCAAGAAGGACACTAAGCCGAGGCTTTTGAGATGGATCCTCTTACTCCAAGAATTTGACATGGAGATCAAAGATAAGAAATGGATAGAGAACGGCGTGGCTGACCATCTTTCTCGGTTAAGAATCAACGAATCTCTTCCCTTAGATGATTCTCTTCCCGAAGAACAACTCATGGCGATCACTACGGCTGTTTGTGGGAGCCTAGAAGGGCGGTTTGAGGAAGTTCTGAGCTTCAAAGAGGAGGATCTCCCTTGGTACGCGGATATTGTGAACTACTTGGCATGTGGAGAGGAGCCTTCACATCTTGACAACTACCATAGGAAGAAGTTTATAAGAGAGGCGAGTGACTACTTTTAGGACGAGCCCTACTTGTACAAGAGAGGGGTGGACAGTTTGTACCGGAGATGTGTTACAAAGGAAGAAGCTAAAGACATCCTCTTTCACTGTCATGGCTCATCCTAGAGAGGACACTTCGCTTCATTCAAGACTGCCACGAAAGTATTGCAAGCTGGTTTCTGGTGGCCGTCCATCTTCAAAGATTCACACGAGTTTGTGAAGAGCTGTGAGGCGTGTCAACGAGCAGGGAATATCACTAAGAGGAATGAGATGCCTCAGGTTCCTATCTTCGAGGTTGACGTGTTTGACGCGTGGGGCATAGACTTCATGGGGCCATTTCCTTCTTCATACGGCAATAAGTACATCTTAGTAGCGGTTGATTATGTCTCCAAATGGGTAGAGGCTGTTGCTTCCCCTACAAACGATTCTAAGGTGGTGATCAAGCTGTTTAAAAGCATCATTTTCCCGAGGTTTGGGGTACCAAAGGTGGTTATAAGCGATGGAGGAAGCCACTTCATAAACAAGATCTTTGAGAGCCTTTTGAGAAAGTACGGCGTTAAGCATAAAGTGGCTACACCGTATCATCCTCAAACCAGCGGTCAAGTGAAAGTCTCCAACCGGCAAATCAAGGCTATACTTGAGAAGACGGTCGGAGCAACAAGGAAAGACTGGGTAGTAAAGTTGGACGACGCTCTTTGGGCCTACTGTACCGCCTTTAAAACACCGATTGGTACGACCCCTTTCACTCTGCTCTATGGCAAAGGCTGTCACCTCCCAGTTGAGCTGGAACACCGTGCATTGTGGGCTGTAAAGAGGCTGAACTTTGACCTCAAGACTGCCCAAGAGAAGTGCCTCATCCAGCTACATGAACTGGACGAACTAAGGATGAACGCTTATGAGAGCTCTCGGATATTCAAGGAGCGGACTAAGGAAGCTCATGACAAGAAGTTGGTTGCCAAAGAGCTTAAGGAAGGAGGTTTGGTGTTGCTGTACAATTCAAGACTCAAACTCTTCCCGGGAAAGCTGAAGTCAAGGTGGAGCGGGCCGTTTGTGATCCAAGAAGTGCTGCCTTATGGAGCTGTCACATTGATGGGCAAGAGTGGCAGTGCATTCACCGTGAACGGACACAGGGTCAAGCCTTACTTGGCGGACAGCTATGACAAGGAGAGTACCTCGGTGCTTCTCCAAGACCCACCATCTGCCTAAACCAAGTAAAGTCTAGCTAAAGACGTTAAAGAAAGCGCACTTGGGAGGCATTCCCATGTCTATCATGTACATATTTCTGCTTTATTTCTCTTTCAGTTTTATGTTTTTATTTTGCAAGTGTGTAGGAACAGCTATGAGGAGTCTAAACCTCGATCTTGAAGTCCAAAAGAGGTGATAGGGGTTAAGAAAAGGCTAGAGATCGAGTGCTAGATCGAATAATCCTAACTCGATCTTTGGTAGATCGAGTTAGTGAATCGAGAGGAGCCAGTCAATCTAGACGAGAACGAGTGATAAGATCGATCTAGATGAAAACGGATCGATCGATCCCAAATGGATCGACCGATCTAATTTCTCTCGGGAAATCCTTAAAAGATATATTGATCACTCGACTCGATCCATCACTCGATCTAAGCCAAATCGACCCCCAAATCGTGGACGTAGCTCGATCACGAGGACTTAGCCGTGGAGCCAAAATCTCAACGATCGAGAGAGCCAATCGATCCAGGACTGATTCACCACGAATCGAGTCACAAATCGAGTAACCCTCTCGATCTAAGCCATTATGGGCATGAGATCGAGTCCTAGATCGACCAAACGGACTCGATCTCATGCCGAGGTAACATTTTCTTTCCCTCCTTTATTTTTTTTCCTCCAGTTTTTAAATTTAAAACTTGGTCAAGGCAAGCATCTTTGACCATGAAAGATGTGCCTTGACCAAGACTTGTGTCAGAAACCACCTCCTTTTACCCATAGTTTTGTTTCTTGTTGGCCTTAAAATGTTTTCATCAACTTCACACTCTCTCATTCTTGTTTTCTCGAAATTTTAAGTAGAGAGAGTGAGAGTTTTCTGTTTCTAAAGGCTAACAAACTTCTTAACAATCTTTGCAAAAGGTATTTTCGGATATTTGATAAAAATCTTTAGGAAAATCTCTTTTTATTTCGTGATTGATTGTTTTAGATGTAGGGTGGTTTTGAATTTTTAAATTTAGCTAAATAATAGGAAAAATTCTAGATTTTCTAGTATCTCTAGATTTGATTCTCTATTATTTTGCTATATTTTTTATATATTCTCCAAAATTCTAGGGTATTAAGTATAAGTTTTCTTCTTTGCCTCTCTTCTTCTCTCATCCTATCGCCGTTTTGCTCATTACTTTGCTTGAGAAACCTGTTTCAGGCACGATGGCCCCCAAGAGAACGAGAGAGGAGACGGCACAAGAAGGAGAAGGTCAGGAAGTGGCTGTTCAAGAGAGGGTCTGATGGAGTAAGAACGAGAAGAGGGATAAAAAGCGGCTGGAAAGGCTTCGGTTCGAGCCTACTAAGTTTGCGTACCGGGAGCTGCTGTTCATGCTAGGGATCCTTGGAGACTTTGACCAACTCCTCAAAACATTGGCTTAGGATGTCTGTCACGAATGGATTGCCCAACCATTCCAGAAGTGACAATAGACTTCCTTTCCACGTTGGAGTTTCGTTACGAGAACCCTAGCGCCCCCGTTCCTTCACAAGGCCGTCTCTCTCTCAAGGTTGGACGTCAAGCCTTCAGCCTCTCAATCCCGAGCTGTGTCAAGCATATGGTCTCAACGCAGCCGCCACCAAGATCGAGTTCCCCTCCTTCACGCGAGCAAATGATTTTTGGGACCTGATCAGCAACGAAGACTACACGGTCAACACCGCCAAAATCAAGAGAGTGAGAAGCCCGGTGCTGAGGTACACCTCGAAGCTGATCGCCAACACATTCAGCGGAAGGTCAGTTGCTCCCACGGTCACGAAGACCGAGCTTTGCTTCTTGTTCCAAGGCGTGAAGCATTTGTTGTGTGATCCGGCGGAGAATGAAGAGCCTATGGAGGATGAACTCGGCGACGAGGTGAACTATGGATGCGTACTTGCTGCCTCTTTGGTGAAGTACAAGGCTTATGCCTTGTGGTGCAAGGCAAGCTCTTCTTTCATTGGCGGCTTCCTCACTCCTCTATTCATACAAGCTGGCGTACCTATACACGATTTCACACCCGTCCCGGCTAGAGCTTTCATGGATGAGGTCTACATGAGGAATACCGACAGCTTGGGATGGACGCCAGCAGAAGGGTTCTACGCTTATCTTTTCATCGACGACAAAAACGAGAAGAGAGTATGCATCCTACCAAACAAAGACGAGACCGAGCTGCTTGGTGTTGGGAACATCGAGTTCTTGCCAACAGTAGAGGAGTGCTTTGCCCCTCTAGGAGGAACGCCTGCCCCAGCGATTGCTCCTCGTCAAAG